GTGTTTTAGCTTTGATATTCTTTGTATTTTCACTCAGTTGTTACATGAGCTTTATCAATAACATCTGTATAAATGGTTTTTAAAAGTTAACCGTGTATGTGCCCGTGCCCAGCTGAGCAATAAAATGAATGCTGTTTGCACCGTCACAGCATCACAGTTTTTAAGGAATATTGAGTTTATAATGAATTGTTTTGATAAAACTCCGTGATTGGCTTTGTGGAGAGTGACAGCCGGCGAGCCACCAAGTGAGAAGTTTACGAAGATTCACGTGCCTGCCTCAGTTGTTGCCTCAGGGAGGCCCCCCCCCACCCCATCCCGGGGCGAGCAGATTGATTGGCTTGACTGGCTGCCGGCGGCTGCTCGGGAGGGGGAGGCGGTGTGGGGATGGATTTCGGAGGCTGCTCCGGGCTCCGGAATGAATGACAGTGGATAGTGGATGAAAGTCCAGCTGAGTATACGGGTCGAGAAAGGAGTGGCTCCGAGGTTTCTTCATTCAGAGCACAGGCTGTGTCAGTCCCCTGCGGCACAGGCCGCACAGAAAGGACTGTCGGGGAAGCGCAGGGAGGTGGGAGGGGGATAGTAAAGCCCAGAGAAGGGGCGTCCTTTTTGAAATTTTTTGCTTGTTTAAAGCATTGCCATGTTCACTGGTTATTATCTAAAATTTGTAGTGTTAGTATAGTAAGGATTTTAGTGTTTTTATACTCTATGAATTACCCAAAAGTTTGATTTGATATGTTTTTCTGCTGTGCGGCGACCTGGAAGGTTTGTCTCTTCGTTATAATGAGGGTTAACCTTGGTACCCACTGCATTTATTTGTCTTGTATATCCCAGATGCTTACAGTTAGGATACATACAACAGAACCAAGAGCCTTGTAACAGGATAGAGGTAATTATATGGGAAAAAGGGTTACATTCCTACATTAACACTCTTAGCAAACCAGACAAGCCAGGTTTTAATTTTTTAAAGATTTAAAAATTTTTTTTAAAGATTTATTAGAGCGAGCATGGAGGGGAGGGGGCAGAGGGAGAGGTATAAAGAATCCCGAGCAGACTCCATACTGAGTGTGGATCCCAGTGGGGCTTGATCTCATGATCCTGAGATCACAACCTAAGCCGAAACCAAGAGTTGGGTGCTTAACTGACTGTGCCACCCAGGCACCCCAAGATTTTTTATTTTTAAGTAATCTCTACACCCAACATGGAGCTCGAACTTAAAATTCCAAGATCGAGAGTCTCATGCTCTTCTGAGCCTGCCAGGCACCCCAAGGGTTAAATCTTTTTTTTTTTTTAGTATTTTTATTTATTTTTTAAAGTAATCTCTGTACCCAACGTGGGGCTCAAATTCACAACCTGGAAATCAAGTCACGTGTTCTACAGGCTGAGCCAGTGCCCTGACGAGCCAGATTTTAAAGTTACATTTTATCAGGTCTTTGCCCTATGACTTGTTCATTCAACAAATAACCTGTGCTCCTACTGTGTGTCAGGCTCTGTACTAGTTGCCAGGGATATAGCTTCTTCCTTGTGTTTGTGTTCATTATACAGTTGGCTACATTGCCAAGGTGATACGCTCAACTCTTGCTGATCAGCATACTTTCGTGGATATTTGGGCTGTGATTTATCTGGGTTAACAGTTAGTCTATGAGCTGTAAACCCCACTTCTCTCTCCCTTGAAGTGTTTTGTAAGTGGAGAAAGTGGAGAGGCAGCTGTAGCAGTCCATGGGGTGGGTGAGGGACCCTTCTAAGATATTTCTCCTGCCCACCCGGATGTTCACAGTGTTCTGACTTTTAGCACAGGAACTGGGCCTGAAGATGGAGACACACATCAGATTCAACCTTTCAGACCACTCACTCCTCCCGGACGTGATGGCATGACAAGAAGGTGGAGAACCATCGAGACCAGAAGGGAAAAGTTCTTTTTAAAAATTGAGGTATAACTGACATATTGTTTCAGTTGTACAACTTAATGATTTGGTATGTGTAGATGCTGCAGATTGATCACCACAATAAGGTCTAGTGTAACATACATCACCATATATATGTTACAACTTTTTTTCTTGTGATGAGAACTTTTAAGATCTACTGTATTAGCAACTCTATCAAATATGCAATACAGTATGAACTGCAGACACCAAGCTGTACCTTACATCCCTGTGACTTATAACTGGAAGTTTGTACCTTTTGATCCCTTTCACCCATTCCCCCAGCCCCTCACCTCTGGCAACTGTAAACCTTTTTTCTGTATCTGTGAGCTCCATTTTGTTTTTAGATTCCACATGTGAGGTAATGGTATTTGTCTTTCTCTGACATACTTCACTTAGCACAACACCCTTATGGGGTTTTTTTGTTTGTTTTTACTTCCCTTTTTTTTTAATGGCTGAATAATACAGCATTGTATATAAACACCATGTTTTCTTACGGACACTTAAGTTTCCATATCTTGGCTATTGTAAATAATGCTGCAATGAACATGGGGGTGCATAGTATCTTTTCCAGTTAGTGTTTTCATTTTATTCAGATAAATACTCAGAAGTGGAATTGCTGAGACATAATAGTAATTCTTTAAAAAAAATTTTTTTTAAAGTTTTTTTTTTTTAAAGACTTATTTTAGCGAGCAAGCAGGGGAGGGACAGAGGAAGAGAGAGAAATCCTCAAGCAGACTCCCCACTGAGCACAGAGCCCCACATGGGTCTCAATTCCAGGACCCTGAGATCATACCTGAGCTGAAACCAAGTCAGACACTTCACTGAGCCACCCAGGTCCACCATCTACATTTAATTTTTTGAGGAACCTCCATATTGTTTTCCATTGTGATTGCCCCAACTTACATTCCCACAAACAATGCACAAGGGGTTCCCTTTTATGCACATCCTCCCAACACTTCTTTTTGATAATAGCCATTCTAACAGGTGTGAGGTGGTTTTGATTCACATTTCCCTGATGATTAGTGATGTTGAGCACCTTTTCATGTACCTGTTGGCCCTTTGTGTGTCATCTTTGGAAAAATGTCTATTCAGTTCCTCTGCCCTTTTTTTAATTGGATAGGTTTCTTTTTGCTATTGAGTTGTAGGAATTTTTTTTTTTTTTTTGAGATGGGGAGAGGTGGGGAGAGGGGCGGAGGGAGGGAGGGAGAGAATCTTAAGCAGGCTCCACGCCCAGCACAGAGCCTGACACGGAGCTCGATCTCACAACCCTGAGTTATGACCTGAGCTAAAATCAAGAGTTGGACGCTTAACCATCTGAGCCACCCAGGTGTCCCAAGGTATATGAATTCTTAATGTATTTTGGATATTGACCCCTTTATAGTATCTCATTTGCTAATATTTTATCCCCACTTGATAGGTTACCTTTTCATTTTGTTGATGGTTTCCTTTGTTATGCAGAAGCTTTTTAGTTTGATGTAGTCCCTCCCACTCGTTATACTTTTGGTATCAAATCCAAAAAATCATCACTAAGACCAATGTCAAGGAACTTACCACCTATGCTTTCTTCTAGCTTTATGGTCCCAGGTCTTATGTTCAAGTTTTTAATCCTTTGGAGTTAATTTTTGTGTATAAGATAATGGTTCAGTGTCATCTTTCACATGTGGATGTCCTGTTTTCCCAACACCATTTGTTGAAGAGACTGTCCTTTTTCCTATTGTATATTCTTGGCTCATTTGTTGTGAATTGACCACATGTGTGTGGGTTTATTTCTGGGCTCTCTATTCTGTTCCACTGATCTGTGTTTCTATGCCAATACCATACTGTTTTGATTATTGTCATACAGTTTGAAATCAGGTAGCATGATGCTTATAGCTTTGTTCTTCAGAGGGCAAAGCTTTATTTTTAAATTTTCTTCCGTATTTTTATATTCTAGTTAACATATAGTGTGATACTGGTTTCAGTAAAATTTAGTGATTCCTCACACATAACACCCAGTGCTCATCATACAAGTGCCCTCCTTAATACCCTCCACCCATTTAGCCCATCCCCCCACCTGCCTCCCCTCCAGCAACCCTCAGTTTGTTCTCTTTTTTTTTTTAAAGATTTTATTTATTTATTTATTAGAGAGCAAGCGAGAGAGAAACAGCATGAGAGAGGAGAAGGTCAGAGGGAGAAGCAGGCTCCCCACCGAGCCGGGAGCCCGATGTGGGACTCGATCCCAGAACCCTGGGATCATGACCTGAGCCGAAGGCAGTCGCTTAACCAACTGAGCCACCCAGGCGCCCTGTTCTCTATCTTTAAGAGTCTCTTATGGCTTGCCTCCCCCTCTCCTTCTCCGGAGGGCAAAGTTTTAAAGGCAGTTTAATGTTTTTTTAAGACAAGAAGAAATTGGTCATAGCAATCAAATGAGCTGGGTAATATAGTCTGAACGGCTTGAAATGCTAGATGAAACATGTTCATATGCTCCATGCTACTCTCTACATGCCCTAACCGGAGCGTCTCTTCTCCCCTTCAGTTTGTCCCTGGTGCTCTGTGCCACTCTCTGGCTTTGATCAGCAAAGTCCCCATATCCTCAACTGCTCTTGGCCTTTACTAAAACTGAAGCCTCCCTTCCCATGGAAGGTGCCACACCCTGCTGGGTTTTTGGTTCCTCCCCCCCCCCCACCCCGTTACTCCTCCATACCAGAAAGAGGGTCGGTGTACTTATTACTCCAAGTCCAATGTGCCTCCTTTCCATGTGCAAGCACAAGTGCTCCTTAAGGCCCACACCTTCCACCCTTTGCCTCTTCTCACGCTCTCCTCTGCCAACTAACAGAGGCCATATACACAAATTCTCATCTTCCAGCCACCAGACAAAACATCTACACAGTATCTTAAAGATTTAACCCCAGCTCCCACCTCTGATAACAAGCCCACACTTCTAGCGCTTCTCTGAATTAGAGACTTCTATTGTTTTTACTGACCTACAGCAATAGGCTTCAGGAGCTGGCTGCTCAAGCAAGGCTTGTTAATTACTGCAACTATGACCAACTATGTGTGCCTTTATTCCCTCTTTGAAGTCATAAATTCAAAGTGGTATACTTCGAGAAAATGATTTTTATTTAAAAAATTGTCATAAAAAGTACTGGAATGCATTAGGCATTTAGAAACAAGTCTCCTGGTTTAGATTGTTTACTGGCTCAGTTCTAGATCTGTCCTAGTCAAGTCCTCCAGAAACCACTTATAAAATCGGGCCTCAGAGGAAGGGATTTTTACTGTACTGAAAAGAAGCCAGATGAAGCAGAGCTCTGAAGCGCTCAGCTTCCAATTCCCGGAAGAAAGAGTCGTCGTCATTCTGGGTTATCATGTGCTGCAGTTGCTGAATTTCCTTCTCCATCTTTGATCTCAGCTCCCTCTTCACCTTATACAGTGTCT